AAACCTTGTTCACATTAATAAATGATTTTGTTATATAACAGATAACAAATTACGCTTATTAGTTTAAGATCATCACTCACTTTATTTACCGGGATGTATTTCGTTTCACAACGTATTGCTTTGTTTGCAGCTTCCGTTTCTATGATGTATCCATCTGGAATTTGATATTGAACGATGCTCCTACTACTTTTTTGCGTGTATTTAATATTTTGTGGATAGTATCCAAGTGCTATTACCTTATACCTTGAATGAACATTTCCGATAGAGTATAAGGCATCTATGTAAGGATTATTAGGATAATCATGACAAAAAACTCTGGCGACCTATATAAATTATAAGAAATTTAGCAAAAATCTAACAATAATTATATTATTGCTAACTCACCATGGTGCAATTCTTTTATAAAATGTGACTAAACTTCGTTTTAAGTGCAACTATTTATAAAGGTTCGTATAAGACTACTTTTTATAATATTTCTTAATTTTGTTAATTTCGAAATGAAACTGATCTAAAACTGATCTGAACTTGCGATTTCAATAGCGAAAAGGTTATGTCCTGTGCGGTTATTGGATTTCTTTTTTTTTTCATGCGTTTTTGGTACTTTTTTGGTGGGAGTTTTTTTTATCACACATTTTTGGGTGGTACACCAGTGGTACAACTCACGATCTTGGGTGGTACAACTCGTCAACATCACATAAACTTATTTAGTGAGATGAGCACGATCAGCCCATATGATATTTTTGATATATTACTAAGCATACAGTATATTATTCAATGAAAATTTCGGGTCTAACCTGGGTTATTCGAATTAAATATACTCGGGTCAGGTTAAAATCGGATCATTTCTATTTTTGCCGGGTCGAGTCGGATATATTCTCCAAACCTGACCGAATCTGACCCGGTAGGAGCACTATTAAAAACTGTATATCTACAACATTTAGAAAATTCTGAAAGTGAGGAAATGTGTAGATTTTTTGTATTATTGTTTATATTTGATAAGTGTTATTTAATTATTTGTTTTATTTATGTAATACAGTCAACTCTCTTTATAGTCACACATTTGGGACAGTCCATATTTGGTGATTATAAAGAGATGTGACTATATAAAAAATTTCTTATATTAGTATATAATAATTCCGGCCAAAAATTAACATAATTTTGGCCAAAATTATACTTAAAACTTTATTGTATCGTAACTCAGCCAATATTAATCGTAGAGAGATGATCTTACCGCCATTCGATTCGTCTCGATGAGACGATTCTAATGGTATAAAATACATCGAAATCCAATCACTAGATTAATTTCCGAAGTTAAAAAAATATTAATGGTTTTTGTATAATAACTCTGCCAATATTGATCCTAGAGAGACGATCTTACTACCATTCGATTCGTCTTGATGCGACGAATCTAATGGTATAAAATACATCGAAATCCAATCACTAGATCAATTTCCGAAATTAAAAAATATTAAATGGTTTTTAAGTAGTAACTCCGTCAATATTGATCACAGAGAGATGAGCTTACCACCATTCGATTCGTCTTGATGAGAGGATTCCAACGAGCTATTAATCATCTTTTTATAATCACTAGGTACCGAGAAATTCAGCAAAATGTTAAATGGCGCAGTAAACGTAAATCAAGAAATATAATAATGCCAATGCTTAACATTTTGTCGAATAATTCATCAGCCAGTGATCATAAAAGGATAAAACTACCACCATTCGATTCGTCTCAGTGAGATGATTCTAACAAGCTATGGTACATCTTTGTACGATTATTAGATGAGGACCCCGGATATCTCCAAAACAGGTCATAAGTCACACTTTCGGCAGATTGGCCCATTTTTCAGGGGCTCAAAAAATCGTTTTTTGTAAATATCTCGGCATCCAGTGGTCCAATTTTGATGAACTTTTTTTTAAATTGTAGAGCTAAACGAGGGCTACAAAATAAAAAAAAAGTTCATTAAAATTGAATTACTGGATGCTGAGATATTTACAAAAAACGATTTTTTGAGTTTTAGCAAAAAGGGGTGTTTTTGGCCAAAAGTCCATTATGACCTTTATATTAGATATCCGGGGTCCTATTAGATGACAAGTTATTTAATATATTCTTTATATAACTGTGATTATAAACGGTTCTTTTTAATATAAGATTTTTGAGGATATGTGTGATAGTGACTATAGATAGATTGTGACTATATAGGATAGATTTTAATAATAAAGTGTTTTGAACATTCAACTGGTGTGACTATATAGTAGAATGTGACTATAACAGGAGTGACTATAGAGTATACATGCTGCCCAAATTATTTTGTGATGCCATAATTATAATTTGGGATGCCATAATTCATTTGGTTTATATATAATTTACTATGTAAAGTGCCAAAATAATTTGGGATGCCATAATTGAATTTGGGATTTTACTTATAATTACGGCAGTCCAAAATAATTTGGGTGGCATGTATACTATAGAGGGAGTTGACTATACTCATATATCTAATTAAAATTGTATATTGTTAAGGTGAACTGATTGATTGTTGTCTTAATCGAAAAATCAGTCCATTGGAACGTATTAAAATGGCTATGACATTATTTTTCTTCCTCCGTTTTTGGTATCAGCACATATTAAACTTATTAGAAACATATCCCAATTTTATCAGTTTAAAGAAAAATTTTTTAGCTGATCAAAGTTATTCTATTTTGGTATCTTTGGCAGAGTCTATAGTTCTTCTAGTAAAAGCACATCGGGAATATTATCCATCAGTTCCTTTACTTCTATGGATGCATGGTTCAGAAGCTGCTGAATACTTTTTTGGTATAACTCGTCAGATAAACCCTGATTTTACTTTTGCTGAATTAATTTATATTGTTCCAAAAATTGCTCAATATTCTAAAGCACTGAGAAATGATAATTTTATCTATGCAAAAGAAAAATCAGTACGTGAAGGTAAATAAATTTTATTTTCTAAATGTATTTTGTTTTGATTAAAAAATTATAATTAATATAATATTTGATGTTATTTAGAATATCATTTTGAATATAATAATATGGACTTAAATATCGAGCAACTTAAACTTTTATGTGATTGGCCAACAGATTCTGCTATACGTAGTATTTTTAGCAATTCTTTTAGTCTTGCGACAGAATTATGTGAGACATTGGGTATACATGTTCCAGCAGAAAACAACTTCAACCTAACTTACATGGAACTGATAGTTTTAATTCAAAATCGGAAGGATTATGATATTTCAATGGACAACGGAATGAATAATGAATCAAATGAAGATTCATTTTTAAAGGAAAATGATATTTCTATGGCTATTGATATAGCTTCAAAACAAACTGATTCTTTTTCTTCATTAGATGATGATGTTCCTGAATTAGATATTAAAGATTTTGCTAAACAAGTTGACTTAGTGAAAATTACTCAATCTACTTATCACTTTTAACTCCAATAATTACAGGTTAAATTTATTTTATTGATCTTAACTTCCAAATCATTATTTTTTTTAGATGTTCAATATGTTCTTCTAGATGGCCAATTAAATTTTACTCAAATGATAGAAATTCGTGCTAAACATGAAGCCTACAATTTAAAAGTATTGGAATGAAAATATCATGGTAAACAGATCGCAAAAAATATGATTCTAAAACAATAAATTCAAATAAAGCAAACCATATTGTTGCATATTCTGTCAATAATGAAAATCCAGAACTGCGATTTACTACACAATGTGAAAAGCGTTGGATAAAAAGCAGAAAAATTATGGTAGCGAATCTTACTCAAAGATATAGAGAAGAATTGACAGAGTCTAAAAATAAGAAAAAATGAAATGTTAATTCATTTATTTATGAAAGTGAGTTTTCATATATATTTATTATATCTTTATATATTTTTTTGTTATATTTTTAATAATTAATTTATTTTTCTCAGTTCCGAATATTGATTGTGCTAATATTAATACTAGTAAGCCCCTATTAAATAATCAATTTGTTATTGTAATTTTTGGTTCAACACTTTGCATTGCATGTATTGTAGCAATGTATTATAATACATATAATTATCATTCTTATCATGTGAGAGAAGTAACCGACCTTGATAATCTATCATATATTACGCTTTATGTATTTTTGCCACTTCATCTTAATATCTTTTCTGGTATAACTAGCGAAAAATCAAAGATTTTTACACACCAACAACCTAGTAATATTATATATCATCTAGCAAACACGGATGTTATTGTGGCTGAGAATTCTTTAAATTTGAGAGATTTTGGGAAGAATATATATAATTACTTTAATCGTGAAGATATAAAAAAAGCAATTATTACAAATTAAAGTAAAATGTATTAAAATTTAAATAAAGGTAATATTTTAGTATTCATGCTAACAGCATAAACTGAGAATTTTTAAATCTAAATCTAATATGATATAAAGAATAAATGAATATCGGTATAAAGAGGACCCCGGATATCTAATATAAAGGTCATAATGGACTTTTGGCCAAAAACACCCCTTTTTGCTGAAACTCAAAAAATCGTTTTTTGTAAATATCTCAGCATCCAGTAATTCAATTTTAATGAACTTTTTTTTTATTTTGTAGCCCTCGTTTAGCTCTACAATTTAAAAAAAAGTTCATCAAAATTGGACCACTGGATGCCGAGATATTTACAAAAAACGATTTTTTGAGCCCCTGAAAAATGGGCCAATCTGCCGAAAGTGTGACTTATGACCTGTTTTGGAGATATCCGGGGTCCTGTATAAAGTGTTACGAAAGTTATCAATTAAAGTTGAGTTAAGTAACACAATTAATGATTACAATAGTACTATGATAGTATCACTAAGGGTTTGCATTTGTATATTCTAATGTTAATTTTGAACTTAGATTTAAGTTTGCGTAGAGCTACTATAAAAAAATAGATGCGTAGAGTTAATAGTAAATGGATGTTGATCATTTGTGAGTTGTATTATAGATGTTCAGGGTCCTGCACTGATCCAACCTATATCAGATTATGATGATCTAATTGAATATTTTGGACATATATATAACTCATAACTGATCTGCATGAATTTAGTACTAAAATAGACTTAATTTGCTAAAAATCAAATTATCATATTTTAAATCTATACTAATTTGCTAAAACTCAAAATATGAATTATAGTAAAATTCTAAATAATATAGGTTTAAATTTGCTTAATAAAATATAATTTCAGTTTATTCAAATTATTTGTAGATTGGTAAATTTAATTGTCAATTTACTGAAATTAACAATTTTTTTTTTTATTATCAATAAAAAATAAATAATTAATATAAATTAAACTATTAATTTTTATAATTTATAATTAAAAATGTGTAAATTATAGATAAAATAATAATTAATATAAATAATAAATTAATATAAATAATTATTAAAAAATAAAATGTTGCGAAACTAATCAGACAGTTTTTGGCCTGCATTATGCTTAATTTTGGCCGGAATTATACTTAATTTTGGCCAAAATATAACCTGGACCCCAAAATTAATATTTTTAAAAATATTATCAATAAAAGTTTTTTTAAAAAAAGAATAAGTTAAATTCAAAAAAAAGTACCAATTTGCTCAAATATAAAATATGACTTTGTAAAATCAACACAATTTGCTAAAACTCATAATCAATTTGCTCTATCTAAAATTATAAGTTTAATCTAATTTTAATTGAATTTGCTAAAACTCAAATGTGAGTTATATATGTGATATTTGGGGTTCTGATCAACCCATCAGATTATTCAATCTGTTAGGTCAAGTTGCGAAGCTCTACCTAGCATCTATTTTTGCAAGTTAAATCATCAATCAAAAATTAGAAAAAAAGAAATAAATAAAGTTAAAAACCTAATTCTAATTCCAAACTCTAATCCTAATCCTAATTCCACACCCTAATTTTACACAATTTTACTGCTCCATTTGGAGGTTTACTTATAAGATAATTTTAGGTTAACTGGGATTTTAAGGATCTCAGAAAATATATAAATAGGTAAGGTTCAGCCAAAAAAATTTTACTATGAGCTCTAAGATTTTTTTTAAAGCCAGAATTATAATAATACTAATCAGTTTCTAAATTAGGAAATTAAATTCTAGTCAGTATTATCTAAAAAGAAAAGATTTATACAATTTTTTAACAAATTCTAAGTAACTTGAGATCTTATTTATTTATATATTTTCTGGGATCCTGATCTTAAGTAAAAAAAAAAATGAGAATGATTTCAGATAGTGTTGATAGGAGTTCCTGCTTCTACTATTATTGCATTCCTATATTTGGCTAACTCTGCTTACTCTATACTTACATTTACAGAATGTAAAACATTTAAATTAATTCAAGATAAAGGTAATACCTGCAAGTTAATAACTTACTATGAATCATGATTTTCAGTTTAAAAGAATTTACTAGTAATTGAAAAAAATATTATACTTAGCTTTTAACTTGAAGCAAAGAAGAAACTACTATCAGAAAATGAAGCAAAATGATAATTCCGAAATATTTCAGAAGAATACTAATACATTTAGATCAGATAAAAAATAGAAGGTAGCCAAGTAGGCCAAAAAAATTGACAAAAGCTTAGATGGTATTGATAAACTTATGGTTTTGACTGATATTAGATTGATATTAAGAAAATTAGAAGTATCTTAAGGAATTTGATAGAATGATTAGTAGGTCTTAATTTTAGGATTGAAGTAGTTGTAGGATGGTTTTATTATTGATCATTTCCCTTTTATTTTTATTTTTATTTTTATTTTCGCTTTATTTCATTGATATAATGCATCACTTGATGCAAGTATACCTGAACATTTTCATTATATAGCAAAAGTAGGAACTTTCACATATTTGTAATTTTATATGATTTCAATTTTAATAAAGTTTTGACTAGACATACTTTAAATACACAAAAAAATAAAAAATAAATAAAAATATTTCTTGATTTGCATTTTATATTGTTTTATTTAATATTTTACTAAATTGTTTAATATTTACACTGGTAAAAAAATGATTTATCCTACACATATCTTACACATATTGGGTACTCAAAATGTAGAAATCATACACAAATAATACACATATCATACACATATCGGGTACTAATATATATATCATATATATATCAGGTACCTAATAGGTATACTATATATATAAGTACCCGATATGTGTATGATATGTGTATTATTTGTGTATGATTTTCTACATTTTGAGTACCCGATATATGTAAGATATGTGTAGAATATGTGTAGGATAGACCATTTTTTTACCAGTGTTAGTAACTATAAAAAGATGATTAATAACTTGTTGAAATTATTTTATTATAACAAATCAAATGGTAGTAATAAATTCTTCTTTTTATAATCAATATTAATAAAATTACTACTTAAAAACTATTTATTATTTTTTAATTTTGAAATTGATTAAGTAATTATATTTTATATTATTAAATTTATCTTATTAAGATAAATTAAATGGTCATAAAATTATCTTTTATAATCAAGATTGGTAAAATTACTATTTTAAAACTATTTAATATTTTTTAATTTTGGAAATTAATCTAATAATTGAATTTCAATGTATTTTATATCATTAAAATTGTTTATTAAAATGAATTGAATAGTAATAAGATTACCTTTCTATAGTTAATATTAGCAAAGTTATGATACAATAAAGTTTTTAAGTATAATTCTAATTAAAATTATATTAATTTTTAGCCAAAATTATAAATATAAGAAATTTTTTATATAATTACATCTTCTTATAATCACCTAATATAAACAATTTCAAATGTGTGACTATAAAGAGAGTTAACTGTATATTCTTTGTATTTGTATTTGGTTTAATTGCATTAATAAAAATGTAAATGATGATAATAAAAATTTATAATAAAAAATATTCAAACAAAATAACATTTATTCTTTCAGTTCAATAGTTTAAATCTTTTAATACTTTAAAAAAAATAGAATTTTAAAGAAATAAACTGGTAATTTTATTTTTCAATATAATAAGTATTATTAAATACCAGTTAGGTTTACAAAAAATATTTATACAAAAAGTTATAAATATTTAAAATTTGGGTAATTTTACATAATTAGTCTAAAACTAAAATAAACTGAAATGAAAAAGTTATATATATACATTTTAATTTGCAAAAATTTTTATAATTCAGATTAATAGATTGATATTTATTTATTAAAAAATTTAAAATATTAAATTTTATCTTAATATTTTAATTTTATCTTTTACTAACTTAATTTTCTAAAACAAATGCTAATATTAATACAATTTTTGGTATATTTTTTTATATACATACTCAAAATTAATACTTTTAGTTTTCATTATATAATATTTGAAATAAAAAATTATTTTGTTAAATTCATGGAATTTTTGTAAAATTCATAGGAAAAATTTTCATTAAAATTATTGATTTTTACTCTATAATGTCATAGTAAACAAACCAATAGAAATGTGTAATAGTTTTTGATTTGAAGTTACATAATATTATTGTGGTTTATGTAAAAAGTATGTAAACCCTAAACTCTTAATAACATTTAAAATTGATATACTGTAAATGATGCAAAAGACATATCTTTTCAAGTTCCTCTTTTGTAAATTCAAATCAATATACTGTATACTTTCCAAATATCTAAAGTGATTGTTCTATTTGCATGACAAATAATGTATAAATTTAGTGCACAGATGATTTAGCTTTTCTTATAACTTTACTTACATCAAAGTTCAGTAAATACAAAAGATATAATGAATCAGAATGGTTTCATATATTAATTTACATTGATAAAATTTGAACAATTAAATTCCTTTTTCAAATATTAATTATGGTCAAGAATTTTATTTTGATCTTCGGAGAAAACAAGGAATAAAATTATTAAAGTGAAGCCCAACAAAAATAAAGAAATATAAATGAAAGAAAGATCTTTCAATCGAAATAATATTATTACCAACTAAATAATAACCGAATCTAATTTATTTGTTCATAAGTACCTTGAATAACTAAATTAATCCCTTACGAATTTTTTGCACAAATAAAAACGCGCTTTTATTGAGAATTAATCTTATTTATTTTTTTGATTCTTCACTCTTAATCTCTTTCTCTTCATTCTTAATCTCTTTCTCTTCACTCTTAATTTCTTTCTCTTCACTCTTAATTTCTTTCTCTTCACTCTTAATTTCTTTCTCTTCGCTCTTACTCTCTTCACTAATTTCACTTGATTCTTCCTTTGTCGAGTCATTGATCTTGGTAGTATCATCAACTGTTTCCAAACCAGGCATATCCTCATCCGAGTCATCCTAAAATATAAAAGTGAGTAAAATAACTATAATATATATCAATAACTTCGATAAACTTACGAGTGCAGAGTCCGAGCCTTCTCCCATTAGATTAGAGAAATCCATTCCTCCTGTAGGATCTGGACCTCCTTCATCCTCATCTTCATCCTCATCTTTCCATTTAGAAAAATCGGTCTTGAGAAATGGGATCTTTTTTTTATCCTTTTGTAAACGTGGCCAGTAATCTTGTTTTTGTTCGGCCTTTTCAAGAACTAAAAAGATGTTTCGTGGAGTCGTGGAACGCTTTGCAGTCTATACGAAAGAGAATAAATAATCAGACGTTGTATTTAAAAATTTTCGATTAAAAATTGAATAATAAATGTCAACTTTAACATATTGAGAAATTGACGTACTAAATCTCTCTAAATTTACGAAATTTATTTTTCCATATTACAAACCTCGGGCTTAATATCTTTGTGAAATTCCAACTCAAATCCATATAAACTCTGCTCTGGACCAGATTTCCCTTCAAATGAGATCTTGTTTTCAGTCACGTTAATTTTCGGTTCTTTACAGTCAGTTACATTTATTGTAATATAAAGTTCGTTGCTGCGTTGTGCCCAAAGTACTTCGGGGTGAAGAATTTTACTAAAATGAATGAACAGAAATGTTCAAATAATTTCAATAAAAGTAGTAAAAGATAAACGGAGTTGGTAAAAAGGTTACGTGTAACGAGAATACTAAAGAATAAATACAAAAAAAACCCACAATTTTACTTACTTATTAGACATTATTGAAACCTTTTAAAAGAAAGTATCCGAAACGTTACTGAATAATGAAAAGGAAAGAAAAGAAACGAGATCTTTGATAAAGATTTAAATTTAGTGACGTCAACAGTTTCGCGAATGTTCTGGTTAAATGAATAACATTATGAATTATCTACGTAAATTTATATTCACATGATTATATTTAGATATCACGTGATTAAAATTTTCATTTTAAAAACATTAAACCTAATTTATTCAGTTTTATTACATTTTTGGATAATTTACAAAATTTAAAGCTTTGTAACATTTCATATTAGTCTAAATTGTGTTAAAACACTAAAAATGTTGAAAACTTTTGTATGCCAGTAAGGGATATATACATTTAACAGAAAGGGGAAAGAATAAATAAAAAAAAATTTGACATATAATAAACTTTACCCGACATCATTCTAGGTTAAAATATATGACGCGTAATCCGTTTCTATATAAATAATTCAGGGACATAATTTTTTAGCCTTATGTGAATCATCATCGTCTTCATCATCGCTAATAATAATTATTTCTGCAGGTTTGGTTTTTCTTTTTCCCCTCGTAGGACTTGTGTCTTCTGGTTCTTCTTTGATAACAATTGGCTCTTCCTTGATTTTAACATCTAACAATTGGTTGTTATTATGATTTTGTGTTGATATACAATTCCTTCCATTTAGTGAAGAATGTTGGATTGATAAGCGCGGATTGGGGATGTTGTGCCCACGAGCAATTAAGTAAGCAGCTGGACGATAGTGTAAATGTAAAACTGCTAAAGGAGGTCCTTGCTCTTGCAAATACGTGTCAAATCTCGTAATTGATGGATTCGGTACAGGTTGAACATCATATTGTGTTGCGATTTTGATAGATCTCGTATCCTTGCTCTCTGGGATGACAGCTGGTTCAACATCATAATCAGGTGGAGGATTTACATTCCATGGAACGCGTTTGGCACGATAAAAGTATACTGATACGGCGCCTGGCCCTCCGAAAGAATAAGTTTTAGTCGAATTATAATTATCGGCCTCTCCTTTCCAAATGGTAGGATCGAATTTAAAAAAATAAATCTTGTCCCGATTTTTGCTCCAAAAGCACGTTCGTGTATCAGCAAGTTTATTAGAATTGATATCAGTATAAGAGTAATCATACTCTCCATCCACATATAAAAACACTTTTATTGGATTTGCATGACTACATTTTAAAGCTGGTGCAGAAAATCGTATAGCATATCTTTCTCCAAATTCGTGAACGGCTGCAAAAGTTGTAACTGGACTATTCATTACAACGTAATAAATATTAAAAAAATAAATAAATAAATAAAAAATAAAAAAACAAAATAAAAAATATTTGTTTATATGAAAATAGAAAGAAAATCAAATTGAAAGCAGCTTAATTGATACGCTAACCTTTTACACTGTATTTCAGAATTCTCATTGCAAGTATAAGAAGGACTTGGGAGTATTTTCTTTAAGAAGTTTTATGTGGCTAAATTAGTGTCAAACTGAAAAAAAAGGTAAAACCCATACAAAAGAAACTAACACTAATGAAGTAAATGATTACCTTTTGCGGGTCGACTTGTTCAGTAACCTCAGGTAGTGGTACATTATTTACCAGAATTTCTAAACGAAAGCCATCTAACAACATTTTCTTTAACCACTATAAATTTTTATGAAATAATTCGACTTATCAAAGAATTGATTTAAATTATTACGGACTTAAAATACCGATTTACTGCGCCAGGTGATCAGATTACGCCGGATATTTATCAATTCTTTCACCTTATCCTGATTCCTTTGATCCTGATGCACATAACGCATATATGTCGAAACATTTGGATTTTTAGAGTCTATATTTAGATAAACCAATGATAAATACCAAAATACTAAATATGGAATTATAAAGACAGCAAATATATATGGTTTTATTTCACTTTAATAACCGATACAAATTTTGAAAATGCCGGAATATATTTTTGATGAATCATTGATTTCAACCGAGATACAAGACGCGTTATCACCTAATTTAAAGTTAAGACCGCTCGCAAAGGATGATTTTGATAAAGGTTTGTATTATTCCTAAAATATAAAGTTCAGATTCAGTAAAAGAACTGTAAAAGCATATATATTGGAACCAATAATTAAGGAAAAAGAGTTCGTAGAAAAGTTCGTAGAAAATAATATAAATTATTTATAATTTATTAAATTAAGATCGGAACCATAACGGCGCAGTAACCTTAACTATATTCTCCTTTAATGAATAGGAATTTTTGATTGTTTAGAACAACTTTCAATTACGGGAGAAATTTCACAGAAAAAATTTGTTGGTAATGCTTCTTATGTTTAGTTTAAAATTTGATTTAACAATTTTTAAATAGAGAATTTTTTTCGTAATAGAACAATTTGAAGAAATGAAAAAGGCTGGCGGATACTATACGATTGCTATTGAGGATGAAGATCAAGGAAAGATCGTAGGTCTAGGAACTTTATTTGTGGAAATGAAATTTCTGAGGAACTGCGGAAAGGTAAGCGGGTGTGTTTATTTAGATTATACAAAATTCATTTGGTTTAACATTTTTTCATAATTATATAAAGGCAGGACATATAGAGGATATTGTTGTACACGATTCACAAAGAGGAAAAAGTTTGGGGAGAAGGTAAGGAAATCTGATAATCTATGTTATGCTATTTAACTTGCTAAATATTTTTCAATTCTAGAATTATTGATCAGCTTAAACATATTGGCAAAGAACTTGGATGTTATAAGTTAATTTTGAATTGTAACGAAAAAAATATTCCTTTTTATGAGAAATGTGGACTGACTTTAAAAGATGTGCAAATGACTTTATATACAACGACGTAGGAGAAGATTTGGGTATTGGAAATTATACATTCTCGAAAACAAATATCAATGGCGCGCAGTTTAATTTACAAAATAGATTTTAACATAATTTATTATATCATTAGACATTTTTTAAAATTTGAATAAATTATTTAATTTACCCTTCAGTTTTTTCAAAAGATGTATCTTTTGTAACTTCAATTTTACTTTCAACAACTGACGTAGTCGATGACGAACTAAATTCAATTTCTCTTCTAACAACTTTTTCCTTTCCTTTTCCTTTATCTTTTGTTTTATCTTTTTTCTTTTTCTTGGATATTTTTGTTGAAACAACAACAGCTTTGGGAACAGAAGGAGGAGGATTATTCTCCACAATTTTAGCAGCCAAAACTGTTTGATCGAAATTTCTTTCCCGTTTTTGTATTTCAGCAATTTGTGCCAATTGCTGCTCTTTCATTATTTTAAGTTGAGAAACTCGCTGGTTTAAATTTTTAGAACGTGATAACATCGATATCATAGTATTACGTATATATTGAAGCTTTTCGTGATATTGGGGAATTTTCGAGAACTTTAATTCATATAAAAAGATAAATTAATATGTTTTTTATTAGGTCTACTCATATTACTTATATTACAAAATCAAAGACACAGACACTTAACGCTATATATTCGTAATTATCTTGATTTTCCATTCTCGTGTTTGTTGTTTTCATTTCTTCCAAGAGAAGTTTTTGTCTCCTTCTATAGATGGAGAATAAAATAAATAAAATATAAATTTCGATGATCCTATACTTTATAACTTACTCTAATTCTCGTAATTGTTCTTCAACTTGCGTTAAAGTTGGTATGAAATGAGCTAAAAATCCTTCGGACAATAAAGGAATAGCAGGATTAATATTTTCTGATAATTCCATTGCCCTGGGTTTTTCTATTTTTTTTTGACCTGGAGTAGTTTCTGAAAAAAGATTAAACGAAGTGTCAGGTGCCACAAGATCGAGGTGTCAAACTTGCTGTCTCTATACTTCTATAATTAATGTATCTCGAAAACGCGTATAAAAAAAGTCTCTGATTAAATGATTGATAAGATCTTTTAGATTTATTGGCTGACTTGAGTAACCATAAAAATTGTATAAATATTATAAATATTTATTTCTAATAATCATCTCAAACAATCAAATTTTATTTTTTTTTAACAATGGCAACAAATGCTTGTCCAGTCTTTGCGCCATTTTTTGGTTTTGGAGGAGTTGCAGCTGCAGTAAGTTATTAAATAATTTTTCAAGTATTTTTACATTCTTTTTAACTTTACTTTTTCACCACGTAAATTACAAGATGATAATCAGCTGTAAGTTTAAAATAATAAGTTTTATATTGTTCAACTTTGAGATTTATTTTTTCATTAATGTAATTCTATACCAAAGCAATCGGAGCTGCCTATGGGACTGCAAAAGCAGGAATTGGTATTGCTGGCGCCGGTACATTTCGACCGGAACTTATTATGAAGGTAATTTCGTACATATTTAATCTTATTTCTTTCATTTGAGTTGTTCAAAGTATTCATCATTAATAATAATTTTAGTCGCTTTTACCCATTATTATGGCCGGTATTATTGCTGTTTATGGTCTTGTGATGTCAGTTTTAATAACGGGATCTAGTATGTATTTAAAATCATTGTTTAAAGTATTAGTCTTCCCTTTTTAATATTGTTAAAATTTACACTTTAGTGTCACCAACTGCTGACTATTCATTATTTACGTGAGTATAATTTGATATTTCGTATTTTTCGTATTTGATATCATGGTGTTTAATTTTTTTATTTATTATTTTGACAATGAAGTGGATTTCTTCATATGGGTTCTGGACTTGGTGTTGGACTTTCCGGATTAGCAGCAGGGTATACTATTGGTGTGGTCGGTGACGCTGTAAGTTTTTACCTAATTAAATTCTTCTTTGTAAGTCGACTAAGTCAATTCTTTTTCTAATAAGAAAATTTCCTTTTAAAGTGTGTAAGAGCTCATGCGCAACAACCAAGACTCTTTGTAACTATGGTCTTAATATTAATTTTTGCGGAAGTGCTAGGTCTTTATGGTTTAATTGTGGGTTTAATATTGAATACTAAAGCAGAAAATGATTGTCAATTATATGGTTGATCTTTTTTAACTTCCAAATAAGATTTTTCAAAAATATATGTAATTTAAACTTTTGTATTACTAATATTTTATTTAATATTGGGGATAACAATATCACAATATCTTCATTATTGGAATGTAGGATAATTAAAAAGATAGTTGATTGATATCATAGAATTATGCATCATTATTCAAAACATCTTAACCTTTTAATAACTATTCCAGTAGGTTAACGTGTTCAGGAATGATACAAAAACAATATTATACTTTATCGTGCTACCATAGAATTTTTTAATTATTTCATATTTTGGTATCAAAATAAAGTATAAATTATAATTAATTAAATTAACTAACTATTGAAAATTAATAAATGTAGACGAATACTGAAATATAAATTAATTTCTATGTTCTAAACCAAATCTAATGAATATACACCTGATCAAATATAAATTTTATTAAATTTACGAAATTTATTAACTTATGGTATTCTTTTTCATTTTCAGCAGATTTTTATTATGCCTTTGAGCTTCAAAATAGTTAATCTTCTTTTTGGTCGTTTTCATTTTCAGAAACCTGTTCTCCATTATTCGCGCCCAATGATGCTCTAAGTTGTTTTTCATATAATTTCAATTGTTGTACTTCAACTTCTAAAGAAGCACAGGCGACTTCTACTTGAAGAGTTTGACCAATCATCTCTGTCCATTTATTATTCAATGCTTCAATTTTATTCCCTGTTTGGAGCTATTTACATATTCCAGAATAAATAATATTAGAAAGATGATTCAATTTATTTTATCCTTTCCTGATATTGATCTACCTGTTCAGCTTTTCTCTGTATATTCAAATCTAAGATGTTCTGTTTATATTCCTCCAAAGTTTTTTGATATTGCTGCAATTCATTTTCTAATTGGTAATTGTGAAGTCTCCAAGCATTAGCTCCGTATTTTTGTAGTAATTCCAAATTGAACATTCTAAGAGAAATAAAGGATATAATTAGTTAGTTTTATTTATTTATTTAAAGAATAAAAATTTTCGCTTCATAAATTACCGCAAATTTTGATGTTGTAATTGTGCTTTAGAATTATTTACAGCTTTTTCCCATGCTTCTTGATCTTCTTTATTATCAGGTTCCGCTAATTTATATCTATTTATATCCATTTCGACAATCGGTTTACCCAATTGAACACGTTGATACTCTGTTGCAAGAATAGGTGAATCCTAAATTAAGAGTGGTATAATTTTAATTTAATTGAACTATTCTGAAAATAATAAATTTATTTTAGAACGTTTTTAGTTTATGTAATCAAACGTTATTTTAAACATAATACCTACTTTAAAGAATTCGAAATTTGCTGGAAAATTCAAAGCTTGATCACGTTTCACGCCAACTGGACGTTTCTTCATCTCCTGTTCAACAAGTTTATCAACTTTTGCTCGCATTCCTTTTATAATAAATTAATATAAAATCGCGTGTAAATAAGTTAAGCAATGAAATAATTAATAAATATTTAATCACGTTGGATTTGATGTACCTTCATAATCAATTTCTTGGTCAAAGTCTTGAGGCAGAGAAAAAATTATTAATAACACGTAAAAAAAGAAAAGAAAAGAATCGAACTTTACAAAAAAGGATAAATACATGGTAAAGAATCTATTAAAACATCAGGATGTTCATTAATGGAATCCATCTTAATAATTTTTCTATAACGAAGAAAATTGGGGAACTATTTTAAAATCAGATTCAAGTCATGTGACTTAAAAATGGCATGTGTACATAATTAAATTTTTTTGCCGGGTACAAAAAAACGGCTCGCTGAACGCATTAATGTTCTCGCTCTAATTTTGGAGAAAATCGATTGTAATACAGTTTAATATAACTCAAGCCCGAAAATGTCGCAACTCCTCCTTCGGCTGTTCCAAAGTGAACACTTTAATAGTTGGATGGCTATCGAATATTTATTTAGATATCCTGATTCGGTTGGGATCCAGCATTACTTATGCAATGAACTCAAAAAATTTCCAATGACAGAAATAGAGTTTTTTTTGCCGCAATTATGGTAAAAGACTTTAATTTTCAAATAGTTATTTCTAAGCTTTAAGAGGTTTCGAGCGTATAATACGTGTTAAAGCTTTTCAGTTAAAAATTGCTCCAGAAGGACTTTGGTGTATGCTATTGGTTGTGGGGTACTTAGTTGCGAAGTGTGGACTTTATAAGTAGACAGTAATGATGGAAATTTTATTGATTACTATTTCTAATTTTTTATAAATTCCCTTTAAAAGTCACTTGCTCATTAGCCGAACTACCGAGTCAGTTGCTTTGGAATGTTTTATATTAGAAAATTGCGAAAAGTCTACACATATGGCTATTCTGGTATTGTGTAATTGATAATTTATTAAATAAAGAAAAGTCAAAATTATTTAAATGATGTGATTCATTTTCTATTTTCAGACATTGTGGTATCTTCAAGCGTATCGTTCAGAATTGTCCTCCAATCCATTTTCTCCCACCTTTACAGTTTGTAAGCGTGTCTTGAATAAATGTCAAGAAATAGTATTTGGTGAAAATTTAATCGAAGATGATAAAACATCTTTAATAAATCGTGGTATGTCTCCACGGCAAGTGAGAGAAAACACTTTTCCTGCTCTTGTTGGTATAGGTGCAATGCTTGCAGGTATTGCTGCACCAATGTTAACAAAAAGCGCTGGGCAAATCGCTATAGCGCAGGGTAGGCGTGCAAGAGCTTTCAATAATACGGGAAATAATGGATTAGCCAGGAGAAGGACCCATACTGGAAATGTACGAACTCCAAAGCAATCAGAATTTTCTAAAGATGAAGATTCATCTAATGATCAACCCGAAAATCCAGCAACACCACCTGATTTAGAAAATAATCAAAATTTTATAGATGATGAAAATATTAAGAATGAAAATACGCAAAATAAAACATTATTGGCAAAGGCTGAAACTCCAGATATTCAAATTGTGTTGGATTCGCCAAATACTCAAGAGATAGAGCATGAACAGATATCACCGTCAGAGTCTCCAAAAATTAATGGACAATCAATACCTGATTTTATTAAAGGCCATAAGAAAAGTTTATCCAGATCTTCATCTTCATCCTATCCTTATCGCCGTAATGGTGTAAATACAGCAGCTGCATTCACATCGCCGTCTCTTGATGATTTACATAAAGGTAGCACGTCTTCATTAAAAAAGTATATTTCGAAAGGTTCAAAACCTCGACCACAATCAGCTGATTGTTCACCATCGAGCGTAGACCACGATGATGACGACGACTATGATGATATTTCTATTTATCGCAATTCGACTGAAGTCTCAGATAGTACTTTATTAGATGAATTGGAAGAATATGGTCCAGAACGACAAAAACGCCTTCTGAAAGGAAATTATTTCCGTTCGGAAATGCAATTCCTACTAGCTTTACAGGATATTTCAACAAGATTAATTATTGTTCCCAGAGAAGCGAGGCAAAGTACTCTTAGAGCAGAATTAACTTTATTAAATCATAACTTGCCTGCAGAAATCTGTATTCCTCTTTGGTGTCCGGCAACGACTGAGAAACCATATCATCATCGAGTTGTTAGAATATCTCCAGCTGATGCGGTTGTGTTAAACTCAGCAGATCGGGTACCGATTTTCTTTTATTAATTGTAATTAAATTAAGAATAATTTTTATTCAATTAGATTATGGATTTTATATTTAAAATGTTTGGTGCTATTTTTTTACATTTAGGTACCCTATTTATTAATGGTGGAAGTTCTTGAAGGAGAAATGAAGTTTGATATGTCCAAACTACAAACTCAAAAATCATTAAAGCGTCTTCATGATGAAAAAAAGAGGAAAGGATCTGTTAATATTACACTATCCTCAGATTCAAATAAAAATGCAAACGATGTATCTAAAAATACTGAAGAACAATCTAAGGAACAATCCGAAGATGGCAGTGGTAATACGGATAATGCAGTTATAGAAGTTTCAGAAAGTGGTAAGACCGAACAAGAAAATGTCAATGACAAGCAAGAAGAAAATGATGTTAGTAAATCAGCTGACGAGGATAAGAGCAGTAAAACGGAAAGTGATAGTGAAAGACCTGTATCCCCATTATCATTATCAGATACTTCGAATATAATAACACCAATTCCTCGTAGTTTGTCTACCTCTTCACGTTCTTCAAAACGGACGGCATCAATCGATAAACTCCCATCAATAATATCAGCGCCTTTAGCTTCTGTTAATGAAACAGGATTACAGGAATTAGCAACTGATACTGTGGTACGTTCAACAGATTCAATGTTGCAACCACCAAAAGATAACAGAATTCCTTCACCTGTCCCATTTGCTTCATATACTTCAAATACTTTACATGCTTCACATGCTTCACATTCCTCACACGTTTCACACGCTCCACATGTTCCTTCTGCACTTTCTGCTCCCGCTGTTTCTGCTCCCGCTGCTTCGCCTGCTTCGTCTGCTCCTTATACACCCACAACACCGACATTACCAGAATCGAATAGTGAATATTTAAAGCACGTAATGAATCGTCGTCAGTCTAATTCTGCGGATGAGTTTGCTGAAAGAATGCGTACTGCTGCTGTAATGCTTGCTCAACTTAATGTTGCAAATCATGCACGCACATCTTCTACTGGTGAACCCATTCAGAGGACAAAAGCTGACACTGAAGCAATAAGGCAAAAAATAATTAAGGAAATGATGTGTTTGGAAGAGGAAAGAATGATGAAAATGAAAACCCAAGGGGTTACTAGTGGTGCTGGAGCTAATGGTGGAGAAGGTGGAGGTGGAGAAATGTTGGAAGATGAGAAAAAGATTTTGATTGCCGTAAACAAAGATGATCCTAGTGGTATAAAAGAAATTATTGAAATTATTTTGATTATTCCAAATTTTATCTTCAAATTTTATCAGATTCAAATGCTAACATTTGTTCAATTCCATATGAAAATTCATTGGTCAGCGGCTGTATTTAGCGAAGATTGGGAATCTAAAAGAGAACGAATTCGTAAGGCATCTCCTTATGGTCATCATCCAAATTGGCGACTCTTATCTGTGATTGTCAAAACTGGTGCTGATTTACGTCAGGAGCAATTGGCCTGTCAATTAATAAGAGAAATGCAACGAATATGGCAACTGGAAAAAGTCGATGTTTGGGTTAGATAGTGAGTTAAATATTTTCATTTTTAATCCTTCCAATCCTTGCTTTAAGATTTGTATACTTATTGGTTGTATTATGAATTAGTTATCGTGTGTTAGTCACGTCTGATAATTCAGGTCTAATAGAAACAATTGAAAATTCAATATCAATACATTCTATTAAAAAAGACGCTTATGCTAAGAAGCTGAATGAAAAAGGATTTATGTTCACTTTATTCGATTATTTTGTCAAGGTTTAAAGTTATTCTTTAATAGTGTTATTAATCATTTATAATACAATCCCCTGAATTTATACTCCTTTCTTTTAAAGACGTATGGTGATGTTTCATCCGACGCTTTCTTACGTGCTCAAGACAATTTTATGCGTAGTTTAGCGGCTTATTCGCTCGTCTGTTATATTCTCCAAGTCAAAGATCGGTAAGATTAGTGGTGGTTTCTCATCATAAGTCATGATTCTTAAGTTCATATGTTAATATTTGCTATACTGTTTAGTCACAATGGCAATCTGTTGTTGGACACTGAAGGTCATTTAATACGTAAGTAATTTTGCTCATGAGGAATTATAATTAATTTTCAATAATGATTCATAATATTGTAATTTCTTAATAGATATCGATTTTGGGTTTATGCTGTCGAATTCCCCAGGCTCAGTCGGATTTGAACTAGCACCATTTAAATTGTCACAAGAATATTTAGATATTCTTGGTGGTGTTGCTAGTGAGAAGTTTTTAGAATTCAAAATGCTGTTAAGACAGGCTTTCTTTGCTTTACGGAAACATGCCGATAATTTTGTTTTACTGGTTGAAATGATGTCTAAAGGTAATTATTTATTTAAATTTTTATAATTTTTTTAAAAATTATTTACAATATTATGCTCTTTGAATTAAACTACTTAGATTCAAAGTTACCTTGCTTTGTTTCTGGAGATTTGACGGCTACACACTTGAAGGATAGATTTCAGCTTTCATTAACTGAACCACAGTTTGAAGAATATCTTGAAAAATTGATTATGTCTAGTTGTTGTAATGTGTTTACCAGATTATATGACACTTTTCAATACTATTCTAATGGTATTCTATAGTGGACAAGAAAAAACAAGAAAAGGACAGACAGTTTTTTGGATTAGATGTGTAGAAAATATTTAGACATTTAAATAATTTTGGTTTTATCTAGAATCAAATTTGGAAATTACCAAATTTATTCATTTTTATGTATAATATTATCTTACAAAAATATTATCAAAAATATTATTTATATTATTTGTAAAGAAAAATCAAATTTATTACATATAATACTCAATCGGTAATTGTCTTTTTGTGTAATTATATAATATTTTTTAAAAAATATCCGTTATTTTTAATAATTTTGAGATATTATTTACAAGCAAATAAAGACCGAACAACTGCAGCATATTATAAATTAACATTATAAATATATCGAATATTTAATAGATTTATTAATGATTATAATTAAACGAATTTCACATTTGATACATATTTATCCAACAGTGTTACGTCCACGAACCTTTTTTGTCCTTATTTCATCATCTTGAACCATAATATCTTCGTTATCGCCATTATCCTGGTCGGATACTTTCTCATCTTCGCCTAAATGTGGTTGAGTAATCTTATTAGAAGTTCTAGAAGACGCAGATCGGATAGTTTGATTAGATCTATTTGATGATGTCTTTGTTTTTCGCGGTGTCTCGCGTGGCGTAGTAACGGTAGCCGATTTTTTGTTTTTTCCTTTTTTATTAATATCCTTTTTATTATTTGTTTCATTTTCGCCATTTTCATCATCTTCTTCATCTGGTGATTTATCCATCCAAAATTTAGCGTTCAAAGCGGAATCGAATTGCCTATAATATTTATTTTCAGAATAATCAATCCTTTTTTCTTTTGACTCACGATTAGGTAATCTTTTTCTACGAGGTCTTTTATTGCTCCGACCGTCTTGAGAATCTGACGAATTATTAGAATAATCACCATCACTATCTAATTTCCTTGATGATCTTTTTCTTGTTAATGTAGACACAGATTTTTTTCTTTCAGGTTCATTATCATCATCTAATCTTGCAAAAAAATAGTCTTGAAATTCATGATAATAACGATTTTCAGAATAATCGATTTTTTGTGTAGCTGCAGCTCGTGGTGGAAGTTTTTTACGACCTCCATAATATGGTTTTTCATGCTCGATCAATTCTGACGACGAAGAATTAGAATCGGATGTTTCATTTTCATCATCATCTAACTCTTTTTCATCCTCTAATTGATATTCATCACTTTCATCCTATAATATATGGGAAATGATTAGAATTGCTTAACTTCTTAGTTTTTTTTTTTAAAAAAAAAAATTATTAGAAACATTAATATTACTTCTAAGTTTGAAGAATCGGCTTCTGTATCCACGTCATTATTATCATCTTCATAAGTCATCATTTGAACATTTTCAGTACCAGTATCATTTTTTTTTGGCCGACTTGTTTTTCCACGAGTTTTAGGGATAGAATTATTACTTTCTACTATGGATTTATCATTACTCACTTTACCCACTTTCCCACGAGTTTTATATTCTATCACCACGTTAACTTCTTTTTCACCACGAGTTTTTGAAGACTTACGAACTAGTGTTATCTCTTCAACTTCTGGTGACTTTTGATTTTCAACTTGTTTTCTTTTAACTCTGGGTTTCATTATAATAATATAATTAATAATATACTTCTTAACAAAAATTAACAAAAAGAATGTTTAACGAGAAAAATTATTTTCGCGTTTAATAGCTTGAACGACTATTCTTTTTTACATGGGAAAAATTTAATAATAATGAATTTTCTTGTACGCTATAGTTTTTTTGTATTTGATAAATCACGTGAAGAAACTAATATAGTCTTTTTTAGTTAGATGCTAATAGATTAATTTTTTTGGCTTTGATCGTCGAGATCATCAAATTTGTGATTTTATGTACACGATTATAATCAAAAATTTACTTTTTAAAAGAATGTTGAAGGAAAATATATAGTATGACATTTTAGATTATTCAAGTTTAGAAAAACTACGATTCCACTTTCTGCAAATGATGGTAATAAAATAATTCGCGTACATTGTTGGTCAATTCCTAAATTTATAACAAAAAAAAACCATTATTTAAAGTGAAAAAACTAAAATAAATAAATTATAATTTTTTCACCTTTTACTAATTTTGTGGCAAATTCTTTTTGGTTACCAATAAAATATACATGAGGCATTTGGTCGATTATAAAAGGATCAACATCTTTAAATGGATAACACCCTAAAATATTTAATAAATTAGTTACTTGTTACTACAAGAATTTTTCATTATAAATTAAAAATCAGACTTACAGAGTGTGTCGGGAGCGGTGGGTGCCATATGCCTCCAGTGTAATGTACGCTCCGCAATAATAAGTCTATCCTCAATTTCTATATACTTGTATATATCATCAATAGTTTGACCAGATGTACCAAGAAACCTATAGAGCGTATATTTTAATTAATATTTTCTCTTTAAAAATAGATAAGAAAATTTTAAACGTACGTGACATCATCAAATTTACACCAATAAGGATTAGTAACGGAATGAAAATTTGGATTTGTTCCAACTTTAGGAAGTAAATTAGAAAGAATCGGTTGTTGAGGTAATGTTGAATCAGCTGGATCATTTTGTCCCGGCATAATATGAACGGGCAATAATGAACATAATTTTTCTAGGAAATTGTCTAAATTATTGAGCGGTTCCGCGTCGTATAATGAATTATCGTACCCATATTTTTTCTACACAAATATTAATTACAACCTCCAATTTAGTATATAGTATATATATATTTTTACAATTATACAGAATAAATATTGAATAAATATTATAAATTTACCTGCTTCCTTTCATCAGGAACTGGTTTAGCGGTAGCCAGGCTATTACCAGCAATTATTATCCGTGCAATTTTTGAAGATATATTTTTTTGTTCCTACAAAAAATTTTGATAAAAAAAGATTTTTAACACTTAAGGAAAAAAATTTTTGAATTTTAGAGAATTTTTTAATGATGTTTACATGAAAACAACCCAGTTCACCAGTAAAGTATTCCATCATTATTTGTAATCGCGTTTCCGAAATACCACTCGTATCAATGTTCAGTCCACTTATCAATGCCACATACTTATCATCATCTCTATCTTAATATGTTATAAAATCTTTAAAATATAAGCATGCAAAACAAAACAAAATAAAAATAAAGACAGACCAAATTGAGACAGACCAAATTGAAACAAACCTATATTCATCTGTATCCTTGGATAAATCTGTTCAGGTTGTTCAGGTTGTTTGGGAAGTCCGGCAATACAAATATCTGATACTTCGAATTCTCCTTGAGAATTTTCTTTTCCTAAAACTGACATAATAATTCCTGAAACAATTATTTCTTCCTTCAATCTATCACCTACAATCTTTATTCTACCAGAATCATCATCTAACCAAAATTCATCTGTAGGACTACAATATTTTTCTTTTAAAATTGGGGCGGGCTCCCAATTCTAAAAATTGGGATCAAACGCATTAATATACACTCATTTCACGAATCGGGAATCAAATTTGATGAAATTGAAACTTACATTTCTAGATAGCTCAGCAAGAATGTTGGGCTTATTTTGCATTTCCATATAAACAGTTCCAACAAGATAGCACAATTCATTAGGTTTGACATTCAATATTTTATTAACGTGTTTTGCTGATAAAAAAAATCGATCATATTAATACTACAAAATAACCGTCAAGATTTGGAACTAATAGATAATACCTTCACAATCCTTCCATTTATTTCTGATAATTTTACTTAATTTAGTATATCTTTCAAAATAAATGTGAGCAAAATGTGTATATGAGTTCTTTTTATTTAGTAATTTATCACGATATTCTGGCATATCATCATAAGTTACTTCTGCGCGACTTATTTCAACTGCTTCCTTAGCAGTTCTTGATAATGATAATAGGTAATCGACAGGACTATATTAATTAAAGATAGACATTATTATATATTACTTCTATTGTAAATATTAACAAAAAGTTCATATTAATTTGGTAAAGTACATGTCAGATGTTGAATCTTCAACCGGAAACGTGGAGGCTTCGCTTTCTTCGTCCATACTCATGCAATTTTGCTAAAATTTTTATTTTATTTTACGATCGAAAATAGTGAATGTAAGATCTAAAATTTTTATGACGCGTCAGAAATCGTAAATTAGTTAAATGAGATCTTAATTATGTGATCATGTGATATTACGTAATACACTGATATTACTAAAAAATTTTCGATGAAAAGATGAAATCGCTCGCTTTCTTCCAAATATAAAATAGATTTGACATCAACCAACAAACATATAGGCAAGTCCGAGTTTCCCAATTGGGCAACGAATGAAGTATATATCGCAAGAGGATTATAATGTGAGTATTTTATACAATGATCAGTTGGAATCAAATCTATTTTTTTTTGGAGTTTATTTATTTAAAAGCTGAAATGAGAAGAAATTGCAACGGAATTTCCCTTCACAAATGAACTACATAATATTAAGTGATGGGTTTCAAACCAAAATTGCTTCAACTTTCGTTATAATATTTGGTCTTCTTGTTAGATATTCGCAAACGGGCTCTTTTTTTCGGAGAAGGGTTAGTTTGCTTGAGTTTTGGACTTGAAGGTAGAATATTATAGAAAGGGAAGGAGTACTAAAAGTGGTTTGACTTAAGAAAGATGACCGTTTTTACTTGATCTTATTTGATCAGCTATTAAAAAAAAAAAAAAATTACCATATAAGCTTTATATAAGTTCTTCTAACAAACATTTTTTCTCATTTTGTTGCATTCATTTATATCAATTATTTGATGTTTCAAATCTCGAAAAATGAACGCGTGATCTTTATCATTTCTTTATATTGTATTTCATGGAATTTATATCGCAATGAGATGATTGTTATTCAGGTAAATCAATTTGTTATCTTTAGGTGAAAAGAAAAAAATGATGAAATTTATTAAATTAATTATTTGTGTTATGTATATGATATTAAAAAAAAAATTCCTATTACAGACTATTAAAAGTGAAGAAAATACAAACAAGAAATGGTTGATTTTTTAGCTTAATTTTATTATTTTTTTTTTTCTAATAGTCGGGGAAATAGCAAAAGGGTAATCTTTGTATCTTGCACAAAAATAAGATGTGTACATAAATATTTAGTAAAGAAGCTTGGATAAGAAAATATATATTCACATTACATGCTTTGCCCAATTCCAAATAGATTCTCCCAAACCAAAAAAAAAAAAAAAAGAAAATGGTATATAAAAAATTTGGAAGCATTGCTATTTAAACTAAATGTTTATAGTAACTCCATTAATAATAACTCCAACCCTCCCGCTAACCAAAGAATAATTGACAGATTTTCCTGGATCGGTAATAAGAATAAGAACAAATTATGCATCTTTTTTTTGTTTGAGGCTAAAAAAAATTATTTGAACAAATTTAATAACATAAATCGTACAAAATAAATTCCTAAAGATCTTATTTATTAAAATTATAATATAATTAAATTAAAAATATCATTACTCTAAACTTTTCGTTTCAAATTAGTGCTCAACCATTCTAACCCTTCATAAAGACCATCTCCACTTGTAGCACAAGTTGCTTGAATATACCAATGACGTTGTCGAAGAGAATGAAGTCCAAGTTTATCAGTAATTTCCGCAGCATTCATGGCATTTGGCAAATCTTGTTTGTTGGCAAATACTAAAAGAAGTGCATCACGAAGCTCATCTTCATTAAGCATACGTTGAAGTTCCTCTCTAGCCTCTGAAATACGTTCACGATCATTTGAATCAACAACAAAAATGATACCCTGAGTATTTTGGAAATCTAAATAAAAAATTTACAAAATTAATAAATAGTCTACAATGCATGTTCCATTTACTGATAATAATTAACTTACAATGTCGCCATAATGGTCGGATCTTATCTTGACCGCCTACGTCCCAGACAGTAAAAGAAATGTTTTTATATTCTACGGTTTCAACGTTGAACCCTATAAAAAAAAAAATTGTTACATAAATATTATTTCAACATGTAACTTGAAAAAAAGTCAAACTATTGCAAATAAATATAAATATATATCGCTCACCAATAGTAGGAATGGTTGTAACAATTTCACCTAGTTTAAGTTTATACAAGATGGTGGTTTTACCAGCAGCATCCAAACCAACCATCAGAATTCGCATCTCTTTCTTGCCGAATAAACCAGCAAGAAGTTTAGAGATTGACAGACCCATTGCTGTTTATTATATATGATAAAATATGAATCTGGGAATAAAAAATATTATTCTATTGAAAAAAGTCTAAAAGTAATAACAACAGGACGTGATGCTCTTAAAGCTTTCGCGGTTATGAAATTCCAAGAAAGAGTTGGCGAGTTGAAGTAGAAAGGGGACACAGGTTTATAAAGCCTAACAAAAGAAGATTTGGCTTGATGTTAGTGGTTGGTTGATTCAAATTCTTACAAGGCGCAGGTAAAAAAATGCAACAAATAAACACGCGACAGGTGGTTTCAATGTCACTCTGCATTTCAATTACTGCGGGTAAGATGGTCGCTCGGTCCTGACCGGAAAATTTGCAATGGAGATGAAGGTTGCGCCCTCAAATTTTGTGGCGCAGTAGAATGCTGACATAAGATGACGTGAGAACGTAGATAGTAACGTGCTGTTTATCCGTTATTTGATTGTCGATCATAATCACATGATACGATCTCTGTTACATGAACAATATAAAAAATCCATTTGCGATCATTTTGCCAAGTTAATGATTTTTCAGATAACGAATCAGAAAATGCTAGAGAAGCAAGTGAAATATATGATGCATTTTATCGGAGCTAATGGAGATTGTCATTATTTAGATTATGCATTTTGTGAAACTGAGAAGGATCGAGAAGTCCCAAAAATACCAAACGTGCCAATTGGAATTAATATTCAAATTCAGAGTATCAAGACTACTATAAGTGATAAAGATGAATAAAAAGAACCTTAAAAAATGACCAATAAGGCTTGCGTTGAGAGTTTTTGATCTTGATAATCAAGTATTTAGTAAGTTGGCAGACTTCATATTAGTATTTTATTTTGTCTTTCTTTAAAATTATTTATAATTTAATCTGTGTATTCGATGATGGGTGAGGTATGTTTTGCAGGTCATTTAACTCATAAGTTAGCTTGATAATTCTAATCCGGAAGACACGATTATCTAATGAAACCTTTGTATAATGTAGATCACTTCACTATATCATGTTGATTGATTTAACTAGAATGAAAAGGCCAACATATATAACTGTGGACAAGCGGAGTTGGCGTGCTTCAATCCGCCAACCAGTCCAACCTGATCTGGCGAGTTTCTTTGGAGATATCATGAACGAATATGAAAAAGTAAGAGTGTTGTACACTTGTACTGCTAGTGCGCACAAATTAATGATTATCTCATATAACAATCAAAAATAGGTTATAAACGACATCGATGAGCTTCGTTTGAAATTTTACGAAATGTGGGGCAAGTACTGTGATAAAGTGATTTATTCGGACGAGAAAGACGTCTTTTTGGATGACTCAAATTGTGGCACGCGTATTGTAACTATTTTATTTTACTTTTCTGTTATTTCTTAATTAACTTCTTGTCTAACCTTTCTTTTCCTTTAAGTTATGAGGATGCATATGTACCCAGATTCAGGTAAAGATGAAAACGAAGATATCACTATGCACGAATACGTACAAGGAAACTTTTCGGGATTCTAATTATGATACAGTTTGGTATGTTATGATCATTCATTGTTCCCACTCTTATTTCTTTTAATCTTATTTTTCTCTGATAAGGGCGAATTCCGAAAGTTTATCATCAAAGGATTATCGCTCCACCTATGGTCGTTCACAAGGAAAAAAACCAGATCCAACTATATATAGAATTATAGAAAAGGGGGAATGTGAGGAATCGTGTTTCATTGAAGCAAGACCTTTTCTTAGTCACAAGAACAAGTAAAGTTGGTGGATATAACCTTTACAAAGTGGCAATCTTTTGCCAAGATGGCATAAACAACATATTATTATGTGAAAATGAACCGGGAGTACAGACATTTGGAGGGCATATATGTGGTAAGTTTTCTTTTCGCATTTTGGTGAATTCATGTTTTAATACACTTTCTCATAAAAAATATTATAGAAGGGTACATATATTTCTGTATGATGGACCTGGAATACGATGGCATCTATCGTTTCTTTCAACTATCTGAAATCAAGATCGCACAAAAGCTTTCAGAATTTAATCTCATGCGTAAATTAATATTGGAAGCGTATTTTTTTAAGGTAAAATTCTTTTTGAAATTTATTGTATTTTCCTACTTCTTTATTCTTATTCAGTGTCGTATTGTAGCGAAACGATCGATCACGTGACCAAAATTCGGCCTAATTACGAGGTGACGATCAATGTTCGAAATGTTGCATATGTTGCATATATGTAACATATCAAATATATGCAACATATCAAATATGTTCAACATATCAAATATATGCAACATATCAAATATGTTTAATTTATTTAATATATTTAATATATGCAATATGTTAGATATTTTTAGTCTGGTATTTTTTCATATATATAGACCTGTAATTAGATCTGTAGTTGAATGAAATTGAAGTTCAAGTAGAAGAGTTTTCTTAATAAAAATGGTTCTAATGATTATATTAAATAAACTGTTGTTTGAATTTAACGAAATATAAATTTGTTATCCTTTATTCGTGTTAGGAGTATATGCCGACGTACAGTGCTATACTACACGTCTGATTGGATTGTTTATTAAGTGTTTATACATATAGTTTATTTATTGATTATACACGCCTACCTATATACCTTCTGCTTACCCTTTTCCATTTGTTTACGTTTGTAAACGCTAAAGAACTGGCTATAACAGTATCAATAGCTATTACTCAAACGAAATAATTACAGTAGCTTTCTTTGTTTGAGTAGATTTATTAACACCTAAGGCGCCTAAAAATGCAATCCCGGACGTTAGTCTGAAGAAACAGAAACTAACAAAAAAAAGAAAAAGCATTTGATTTTTTCTCGAACTTAATGTTTATGTTTTTCTGATAGTTAATTTTTCTTAAAGTAATTTCTATTGCTATAGTTAAAAAAGCAAATCATTGTCGTTGCTATATAAGCAAATTTGAATAAAGTTTATCAACGTCAGGTCATTGACTAAACTGCCTTATGATGCATAAATTATTCTATATGATCAGTGTTCTTTTTCAGAACGCGCACGCATTTTTTATGATGTCAGGTATGATTTTTTACTGACTCAAATATAAAAAGGCCTATTCATCCAATTTTAAGGGTGTGTCCTAACCTAATCTAAGTGCGAGAGGATCGTCAGTTGCCTTAGTAAAATCGAAGACCACAAAATTCTGATCTCGCAAATGTTTGTCAATAATCTTAGACACTTTTTTTGGATCATCTGTATATTGACGCACAATTCTGCATATATCTTCACGACTTCCTGAGCCTCGAAATAAAGCTAAGTGTGCGAATAATTTTAGGGGCTTGTGTATACTTCTGGATCACATATATACTTGATACACCTTGATGTCGACCGCTAATAAAATATGGAACAATCTGATCCTGAATTTTCTTTGATTTAGCACAAAGATCTTTGAAGACTATAACTGTATTCCTATCTGGGAAAAATTAGTTACGTCTGGAATTGCATCTGCTTTTAATGCACGAAATGTCACGTTCTCCCGATATGTTTTTGGGCCCTTCGAAAAATTTCGTCACAGTTTTTCACTAATACCCATTTGGGCTCATGGATATGGTTTCCGATTAAGACTAAATCATCATTTTTGTCCATTTTTCTCATTTGATTGGGTTAGCATGAAATTATATTGAAAAAATAAGGATTTTAATGAAATACACATTTAATGTTTCATATTTATTCTACTGTATAAGACCCAATTCTTGAAGATACTCTGAATAACTATATGCGGATCTTTGTAATACCAGACATATTTTAAGTCGGCTTTGCATAATTCTTTATCACGCTTTGCTGTCTGATGAAATTATTTGGGTCTCCTCTATGAAAGAATCCTATATATTTATCATGCTATTCTCCTTGTACTTCGATTGCAAACCCACAGTGATAATAAGGAATGTCAAGTTGTAACTCCATCGAATGCTCTTGTGTTTTTATTTACAATATTATCAAATTTTGCATACCATTTATATTGATTTTTACAGATCCATAATAAAGGAGATTTATTATTTTTATATTCTATTGAAAGATACTTACCACCCCGAGGGAGAGCAATTTGTTTAGCATCATCAAGAGTATGTTCGGCCATACCTGCATAGTATGGACACCATGTATCAGAATGTTTTATACTACTAAGTGAGGACCATTGATGACCCATAGAAAGTGGTGTGCTTATATTCTTGTATTACACTGAAAGGCATTGGCTTTGTCTCGATAATGCAATTTGATTAGCAATTTTAATATTAAGTTTTGCAGTACCAGCACAGTATCAACACCAGCTACCTCTCAGAATAGTTAGTGAAGGAGCTTCCTGTATATGAAAATTTTTGCAACACATTTCTTTACTTTAAAAAAGCAATTAAAATCTGAAAAATAGGTAGAAAAATTGTAATACCAAATTAAGACAATCTTATTAGTTATCACAAAAAAATTCACCAGTACAGGAAAATTCTTCTAACTTGTATAATTTCTAATACTGATTTAAAAATAGTCACAATCATAGAATTAGCAAATGCTATAAATAATTATATGAATAATAAAATAATATATATAAATATACTAAGTATTAAACAGATCAAATATAAAGAATAATAAAGCAGATTCAATAATTTGCAATGAAATTTAATTTATATATGCAATGAAGATATTATAATACAAAGGCTAAATAATGTAATGAAATAATACAAAGAAATTTTGCTAAAAAAAGGATGGATAAGATTATTGGTAATCTTTAGCAATTGTGAACTAATATTTAAAATCAGATAAATAAAATGTTAGTTAATATAGTAAAAAAGCAACCTCTGTATTGGTAAATTATTATTAAAAAAATTTGCTTTCTGGTTATTATATTAATAGAATGCTTACTATTTACAATTATATACTTATTTAAAACAGCTTATATTACAGTTAAGTACTTAAAGCAAATAGCAGTTTTTGATTAACTTATGCAAGATAATATAACAGTTGAATAGTTCTTTTTTAAGATTAAAAAGATTGGTAAAATTACAAGAATGACTTTTGAGAATAGTTTATTTAAAAATTATCATTTATAAATCAATATAATCTTTAAATAATAAAGAAATATTGGCTAAAGTAAAAAAATTTACATTATTTTAAAAGAATAAATTGTTTTTTTTTCCAATTTTTCCAGTAATTAATTTATATAAAAGTACTAATAAATTGGAAATGATTAAACCAAAATTGAAAACTTAATAAAAATTACAATAGCATTCTTATAACCTTAAATAACTCATTAATTGCTGATTCATCTAATAATAGCATTATGTTACTAATAAAATTTGTGTTAAATTTGCTAATTTTATACTATAACACAATCTTTAAAAAATGATATTTTTATAAATAACATATTAATTATAAATAAAAGTTATATGATATACTGAAAAAATAATTGAAAAAAAAGAATTTGCAAAAAAAAAATTATACAGTGCAGTACCTCTATAACCGATCCAATTTTATAGTCATAATGTGACATTTCAAAAAGATGTCACATTAGCAAAAAATAATATTTTAAAATTCTAACTGATAATTTTAATAAAGCATATCAAGAATAATCATGTATTCTTCTGAAGAAATTTTCCTAATTCTTTGGAATTCTACACAATCTGAAGAAAAAATATTTTACCCCTGAGAATTACCATTTTTGGATTGAACCCATAACTTAATAACTAATAAACACTATCATTTTTTAAAATTGAATAAATTTTTCGCATTAAACCTTTTGTTAGTTATTAAATTTATTATTTTATATCCTGCATAAAAAGGAACTACAAGGAAAAACTGTAAAATTCAGAACTAGAATTTCTAAAATTCGAAACTCTTTCAATTCGCCCTACACGATACAAATTTGTTAACATGTTATAGAATATTGTCATTTCATTATTATGACAGAATTGTGAGAATTTTGTAAGAAACAGGTTGAAAATTTGTCATTTTAACGTGTTATAAATGCTAAAAAGGGACATTTTTCGGTTATTAGCTATTAGAAATTTTGTAAAATAGAACTTTAAAAGAAAATCAGATAAATCTTTAATGTTTTTTTTTTTTTTTTTTTTAAATGTTGAATCATATATCATTTTATTAGAATATATTTGGACTATATAATAATCACAACTATTCTGTAAATGATACTTCCAGCATCTGGCCAGTCCGATCAAACATTAACTATTATATCACAAATAAATTAAGAATAAAATTAAATAATAAAAGTAAACTAAAATAATTAAACCAAAATACTATCTATACTATAAACCAAAATTAAACTATAAAGAAAAATAAAGGAAAAATGATAAACCTTTAATGTTAGATTTATCGTTGTTTTATTTTTTATACTATATACTGAAATCTGATAGATTTATTATAATGCAGGTACTTAGTTTTCTACATATGCATCACGAACTTAATCCAAAAATGGTGATTCTCAGGGGTAAAAATTTTTTCTTCAGATTGTGTAGAATTCCGAAGAATTAGGAAAATTTCTTCAGAAAAATACATGATTATATATCAAGAGCTTTTAAACTTATCGGGTTAGATTAAAAAAATAATAAATTTTACTAGTGTTACATAAGTTTAAAGTTCAGGTAATTTATTATGATGGGAAAAATTTGAGAATAAGTGATTTTTGTGTAACATAAAAAAAAAATAATTATTTGATAGTGCTTATTCAAATAAATCATTTTAGTTTATAAACTTACCCATATTTTGTTAAAAAAATTTTGGTAGTTTTTATTTATTACAAATTATATTATGTCTATTTCTCAAAAAGGAATCACAGGAAACTTGCTAAAAAAAATATAAATCCCATAGAAAAGTTCCTGATGATATACTTAATCAAATTACTTTAAAATTTAAATAATTATAATGAATAATAAATTATATATAAAAAATTAAAAAAATTATGCATAATTCTAATTAAACATTAGATATTGCATTAGCCAATCAAATTTATTTAAGTCATGTGATTTTGTATTATGTCAGCAAAAAAAAATTGAGAAAATTTTTTATTTGCTTAATGTATTTATCTTTTTAAAAGCTATTTAATTTTAAAATTTTATAAAATTCTGACCATTAGATCACAAGATATAAGGGATACCTATTATAGAGGTACCACACTGTATGTTCATATACAAAATAATGAGTTTACTATATATATGTGTTAGATTTACACCTTAAAATATGCATTATTTTATTAATTAGTAAAATTTTTGTATAATTTAATATTGTTAAAAACCAAATAATTGTTATATAAAAAATAAACAAAATTTTTATTTACTGTATAATTCTTTTCATATTATTAATATCATATTACTAATAAGTTTATTGAATATTATTTGATACCCTAATTATTTGCAAAATATTGTTTAATTTGTAAAGTTTTCTTTTATTATAAAATTAATAGAATCAGCCTTTTTAAATAAAAAAAAAATAAATTTAATCAGAATTTTTGTATTTGAAAAAAAATATATATATTAAATATTAAAATAAATATCAAAAGTTTATTTTTAAGAAAGAGTTATAAAAAGTATATAAAAATGAAATTTATTAGTTGAAAATTTTGGGTATAAATAGGATTAAAGAGAATTCATGCAAATTAGATAAAAAATAGAAATATTGGTCTTTTAATTGATATTTTCTATCCAATAATTAAGTTATAATTTGATTATTAGATATAAAGTAATAATCAATTAGGAACTAATGCTACTAATACAGATTTCAATATTGGTTGCCAAATAAAAAATGTTAGTTATTTTAACTGAATAATAATATACTTTTATTAATTTTAATTATAATATTTTTTTTTTAGTAAAATAAAGAAAAAAAAGGTAAAATACTTTTATAATTAAAATACTTTAATGATTAAAATACTTTGATGATTAAAATACTTTTATATTAGATCAATTTATATTAGAAAATATATAATATATATAACAGATATAATAAATCTTAAGTTATTAAAAAAAATATATATATATTTTAAAATTTTTAGAAATCAAGTTTTTAAAAGCCAAAAATTTTTTTAATAAATCTATTTAATAATGTTTAATAATATATTATAATCACTTTCTTTTAAATTAAAGATTTTATTTATTTATATTATGATTTCGAAAATATGAAATTTTTTAAAACATCCAATTAAAAAATCTAATCAATTAGATTAATATATTCTAATTAATTAATTTATTAATTATATCAAAGGACGTCAAAATCCAAAAATAAATAATTAATTATTTCATATTTACTGAGAATCAGTTTTTTTTTAAAAAAATTATTTCTAACTTCTATTTCAATAAATAAATAAATAAAATAAAGCAAATTACTAACGATACTATATAGAAAAAAAAAAAAAAATTTTATCTAGTTGGCGTAGCCACACTTTAAAAAAAAAAAGTTATCACGTGCCATCAATATAATATTGAAACGTGTTCGATATACTGCAATTAAATTAACTTTTGAAAACTTGATTTAAAAAAAAATCAAAATTTTTTTTAATCATGTGGCGCCACGTTTTTTTCAATCATATTTTTTGAGGCTTTTAATATATAAAATTTACCATATTAGGGAACGTACTGTAATTTTTTTATTTGGTTACTTAATTTAAAAATCAGGAAAAAAAAATTTTTTTGATAAAAAAAGATTTTTTTTTTCTTTGCTAAGCAAATTTAAGCAATTTAAAGCAATTTAAGCAATTTATTTAATAAGCAAGTTTAAATACGGATATAACTTTATTTGTATAATCTTAATTTAAACATTAATCAATCTTGATTTTTAACTTGATTTTTTTAAAAAATATTTATTTATTTATTATTACATAAAGCATTAAGAAAATTTAATTTTCACATCTCGATTTTATCACGAAGACACTATGTAGATTATTACTAGTAAGTTATAATTTCAGTCAGAATTAAAATTGATCAAAAACACAATGAACTTATATTACAAAAAGAAACTTTTATTTTATAGATTAAAGTCAATACCAATATACCAAGTACCATCGAAAGGAACAAAAAAAAAACCTATAAATATATAATAAACGCAATATAAAATACTGTATATAAAAAGATATATAAGATATAAAAATCCGCTAAAAAAATTGGTTAACTATTATAGTAGAGAGAGATGAATTGTTCCATATTATTATATATATATTGTATAACCCAAAAATTTAATATATTTTATATGAAAACAAAAAAAAATCATTTTTTTTTTAGACTTTTTGGGAAATTTTTTTAATAACGAAAAATATATATATATATATATATATATAAACAAAAGAAAAAACTTATATACAGAAAAAAAAAAGGATAATCAAAAGGCGAGGGTGAAACCAAATATATAAACAAAAAAAAAAAAAAATTCGATGTTAATCTTAGGTATAAAAAAAAAGAGACTATGAAAAAAAAGTAAACCGATAAAAATAATAAAGAAATTTATATATTTTATATATATATGTTTGTGTGTATATATATATATATAAGGGGAGAAGGAGAAAATTTTGTACAAGTGTTAAAAAATAAAAGAATATTTAGCAAATCCTCCAATGTTGACAAATTTTTTGATAAATATATAAATATGTACTTGGTATAGTAGTATTATAGAGTATTCTACAACTGCTAAAGAAACTACACTATTAAAAAAAAACATTGGAGAGAAAGAAAAGAAGTAATATATATAATATGAAACGTGCTGGTTGTAAATAAAGAATTGAAAAAAAAAATAATAAATTCTAAAAGTTTCTTTTTACACCCTGAACTGTGTTTTTTTTTTGTAATATACCAAAATGTCCGACAACAATTGACAATTAACTCATCTATACCAACTTTTATAACTAAATTCTAAAAAAGTTTTTTATATTGGTATTAAAAAAAATTTTTTTTTATAAAAATAAATTGTTTGGTTAAAAAAATTTTTGACAATGTAATGTCAGTCGATAAAAAACATCGACCCATTATGGCACGTCTTTTTTTTACCAAAACCAACTTAAAATAATTTTTTTTTTCTTTTTTTTTGTCAGGGTAAAAGTAAAGTAAATGCAAAAAAAAAGGGCGAAAGAAATTATGTCTCATGCAAAAATATATATATATAAAAATATACAATAAGATACAGGATTACATATTTTGTACAAATCCCATTTTAAATCCATCATACGCAAAAAATCAGATGGCAATAAAAACAAAAAAAGAAAAGAGTTAAAAAAAAAATATATATATGCTGCTGCAAGAAAATCAAAAAAAAAAAAAAAAATTATAAAAAAAATTCATTTTTTCAAATGAACAAAAATCACACACAATCTTCTATAATTAATTGATTGATTGAAGAAAACCACGGATTTAGATCAGCCATGGTCTCCAAGACTTCTTATCATTTTCAATTTCTTCTTGAGGCTCGATTTTAATTGTAAGTGCTTTGAGACGTTCCTTTTCTTTTTCTTCACTTTGAACTAGTTCTGCAGCGGTTGCAAGGAGGTCAAGCGAGGGCTCGCTGGATGAATTAACTTCCGTTGCTTTTGTCATCGTCACATCAGAATACCTTGATTGGGGTGCAGGCAACAAGATTTGTTGTTGCTGATGAGAATTATGCGATTGTTGTTGATACGCAGACTGTTGATATTCAGAAGAAAGGAGATCCTTGATTGGAGGAACGGGTGGTGGAAGGGTCAAATTGTTTATATTTGACAACATATAATTGATTGGTGGAAGAGTAGGTGTTGTTGGTGAAATTGGAGTTATGGGCATGATAGGAGAGATTGGAGAAGGTGGAACACTATAAGCGTATCCTGGATGATGATGAGAGTGACCAAAATGATGTTCATGAGGATATGACATAATTTTTATTGGTGGTGGAATTCCCATCAATTTTTGTGAAGATTGTTGATGTTGTTGAGGAGCGGAGTGAATCGAATGTGATCCAATGTGTGACATATGTGAGCTCATTGAGGTCATTGGTGCTCCTGTTACAGTAGAAGCTCGAGGTCTCGTAAGTGGAGCTTCTTGAGACACCTTCTTTTGATTGTTGTTTGTAGGAGGTGATACATAAGAATGTCTACGATTACTACGACCCCTAACAGGACCACCTGTTGATGGACCTCCATTAGCGAACATGGGAACGAATGTAAAATTCCCATGTGGTAACATATTAATTGATGAAGCATGTCCACTGGCAGCTTGTGTCGTTGACACTGAATGATGATGTAAAAATCGGTGATGTTGATGGGACGCGCTATGTTCGTTTGCCTTTGCTCTATTTGCTTTAGCGCGTCGATTTTGGAACCATACCTATTTATAAAAAGAAATATTAGAATAAAGTTTTCATAATAATTTTAACAAATAATAAATAATAATAAAATAATAATATAATAATAATAATAATAATAATAATAATAATAAAAAGAGTTATTTACCTGAACTTCCCGATTTGTCATATTTAATTTTTTGGCAAGCTTCTCACGTACATCATAACTTGGGGTGTCAGTTTGTTCAAACATTGCCACCAAATCTTGTAATTGTTCTTGAGTAATTCGTTTACGTTTAACCTTTTGAGGCATTATTTGTTCACAACTAGTCACACTTGGTGGGAAAGAGAAATTTGCTTTTGTAGGAGACTTAATACCAGGAGTTTGTGGAGGTGTTATCATGTTAGAATTTCCATTTGAAGAAGAATTAATAGCTTGACCAGATCCTGAAGATCTATTCATTGAACTTCTACGAGAAGATGGAGCTGAAGAAGACGAAGCCTTATCATCAATATTATTGGTACCATTATAATCTGACATAGGAGAAGAATGTTTTAAAACAGGAGTTGTTGGCATTGATTGAGAGACCGAGGAATCCATTTGTGATGATTGTTGTGAAGAGCTAGTATCATCGCAATAATTGATTGTCAGACCATTTTTATTATTGTTGGAATTAGAAGTTGATGATGATTCAGGTGACAAATTTGGAGAAGAATAACGACGCCAATTTTGACCTTGTTGATTCTCTAAAGATTGATGATCATACCAATCATCATTACTTTGTGTTGAATAAGAAGTAGAAGTAGTATTGAAAGATTTTTGTTGTTCATCAGGTTCAGGATTTAACAAAGAGTTTATTGAAGTTCGTTGAGTAGCAACTGAAGTCAATCCATTATTTGAGGCGGTCTTAGAGAATTGGTCAAAAGTATTGGTAGCCATTTTTGTTATAAGATTGATTTTTTAACTAAAAAAGAAAAGAAAAGAAAAGAAAAGAAAAGATAAGTAAATAAAGACCATATAAATATAAATAAATATATATATATATATAAAATAATTATGAAAATATATGTTCAAAATCGAAAATACATATATAACAACGCGAAAAATGATAAGAAATCTAAACCAAGAAATAATAAACAAGAATAGAAATGACTCGAACAAAATACCAAAAAACCTTTTTAAAGTAACATTCAAAAAGAATAAATAATATATATATATAAACTTTAAGTCATAAAATGAGCTTTAAAAAGTCAAGAATTATTAATTCGTATTCTTTAACAAATTAAGTTTACGTGTTATACTTACATAAAACAACAAGGTCGTTATAGTTTTCTCAGCTCTTTCCTTTTACCAAGAAGATAGAGAATTTAAGTAGTGTTATAGATTAACACAAAAAAATGAGGCTCGTAAAAGAATTTGAGTTAACTAGCTAAAAGGTATATTTCCTTTTCAAGAATAAAAAACAAACCGTACTGTTATAAAGAGAAGAAATATTTGAAATATTTGAAATTCTTTAACATAAAAACGAAAAAAAAGAGCAATAAAATAGAAATGTTATAAAAAAAATAAAAAAAAAATAAAAAAAATAAAAAAATAAAAAATAAAAAAGAGAAGCTAAAAATTTAAAGCCTAGCCGGAGGACAACTTTAAGATAAAAAAAAAGGGAATTAGAAGGGTATTTTGATGATGTGTTTAGGAGTACAAAAACAACGTAAAAAGTTAAAGAGAAATTTATTTTGTTGTGTAGCAATTATTTTTTAATAGGGGCTTTTTTTTAGGAAAGATTAGTAGACGTTAGTCGAACTATAAAGTCACACATGTGGTGTAACAATAAACAAGAAAAGGGAAATTGAAAAGAGGCTAATTGTCATAAAATACATTGAATATATAAATAAATATTTCATTATTGATATATAATAATAAAATTATACTTTTAATACAGTTTATTATAAATATAGTAAAGCCACATTTTAAATAAAGATATATTAATGCGGACTTTAAAAAAATTAAAAAAGCCAGAAAAGTCAAAACAATAAGATATTATAAGGAATGAAACAAGTTTCATTCAAGTTTAAAAAGTCAAAGTGGTTGAGTTTGAACCATATTAGGATTTATGTAAATTATGTGTTATAGTTTCTTTGGTTTTGTCTACCTGGCGGGGAATTCGGAAATGACCGCGTGTAATCTTTAATCATAAAAAATCAGTAAACTGAGAAAAAAAAAAAAAAAAAAAAAA